AGAATAACTCCAGCAAAAAGAAACTGACGAAGCAAGACCCTCTCATCTCAGTAGTTGTCCGAAAGACCATCCGTCGAAACATTTTCTTTGTTAAATGTCGCAAGCATGAAGCCATGCAAAAAGTACAAATTGAACTTTCCAGACACAAAAAAGGTCAGTATTTTACTACTTTTTCAGGCTAGCCTTCTATTTATTCCCGACTTGTAAAAACAAAAAGCCATATTACGATAAAGTCACTAAGGGTGCGTTTCTTTGGGAAAATCCAAGATTGAATTCTTAAATCTTAAAAAGGGATTGGGATTTTGCCTTTATTTGCTAAATAGATTAATCCAAGTGGTGCATCAAAGGAACCGTAAAAGGACAAAGATTCTTCCTTCCCTTTGATGCACTACCATCTGAGTGAGCATGGATTAATCTGTTTAGCAAAAAAGCGCAAAATCCCATTTTTGTTATCTTGGATTTTCCCGAAGAACTGCACCTTTAATTATAGGTGTTCACATACACTGTCCTACCTGGCCTGGATGCTTTCCTGTTTCTTGTACCAGTCGAGCTGCACCTATAAACGCCTGGGTAGCCAAGTCTGTCGATAAAGCTCTTGGCAATCCAACCCTGACACCGCCATCACTCATGGCCTCTATTGCGAGGAACAAGAATGCAAGTCCACACCCGCTCACAGAGCTGACTGCGTTCATCTGGGACTCCTTCACCTCCACACACATACCTTTCGATAGTTGCACAAAGACTGTCAAGTTTAGAGTACAGTTGAACTTCCCGTATGTGAACATATTCGGGATCAGGTTAAAAATGCAGTGTTTGTATGTGGCTGGGACCATTACTAAGTGTGGAAAGAAGAGAAAAAGACGAATACATTTAAGGGGCTGGGTGGTGTGAAACATAGGCTGACCGGACGTGAGAGAGCGGCGAAAATTGAGCCTAAATGAAATGCTGAAGGTACTCTAATGACTACTCCATCACTAACAAGCCCCCAGGGCTATTGAGGCTAACTAAAGTGCTCTTCAGACGGCCAGCAACTGGCTTATTTTACTTGCTGAAAGAGTGCTTATCTGGAGCTGAAAGGTTGCAAGAAAACAAAGATTTCAGGTCATTTTTGAGGGGCTCAGGCCAGGAAGACCAAGTGAGCTTGATAATAAGACCACTTAGTTTTTCTGAGTGACATCCACAAAAAATCATAAAAACACTGAAAAATTTACCTACCACTTGTTTGAAGAAGTTTTTTCACCAGTTCTACATCCTTTGCTTGTACACAAGTTCCTTTACAGAAAGCAGAGACACCACACTGCAGGGCACATGCCAAATTTGGCTGCACTCGAATAACCCGGGTACTCGATGCTAAATGCTGGCAAACGGGAAGCAAAAGAATGAATAATTGACATATTTTTACTCTAATTCGCGGCAGGGTCTGCACACGTCAGCTCACAGGGTGGGAGGCTGATATGTGCCCTCAAGCAGACAGACAAGGGAACCCTTAATGCTCTAGCCCCTGGTAATGTTCTTAGTAGCCAAACAGCGATCAAATAAAAGCAAGTAGCTGTTGCCTTGATATAACCAGATACACTTAAGGCAGGCAAATGCCAACAGAGAAACCTTAGCCATCAAGGTTAGGGGTAATTGGGCGTGGGGCTAATCACCCCACCCAGATAAAACATCCACTTAAATCTTGTCAATTGCAAGGTAAGGTTGGGTGCAAAACAATTACCCACTGGTCCCAAGATGGTACTTATATTAGCTGGGTTGATGAACTGTAACAGAAAGGAAGATGGGTCTGATATCTTAGGCAAAAACCATGGCAACTGAAGCAACGGATATGGAAGCTTGAGAAAGAAAGCAAACATTTCAGCTCTCCACATGTAGAGGGAATTGGCCTCTTGACTGACTGTAATGCGCAAACAAGATTTACTCAGTTAAGACTATTTGTCAGAAATGGTATAATTTTTTCACGTTATCTATTAACCAATTTGTTAAAGAATTTGTCAAGGCAAGGTAAAACTGTTACATAACTGTTACTCACCGCTTCAATTACCACTGTAGTAATAGCAGTAGCCACAGAAACAACAAGGTGCTTGGATGGGTCAATAGATGACATAACCTCTTCGATAACTGGAACTATTAGGTGAGGTTTTACAGCTAAAAAGACGACATCTGAAAACTGAACAACCTCCTTGTTGTCCAGTGTTGTTTGACAACCCATATCCTTTAAAATAAAAGAAAAACATAAAATATACTGTAAAGAGAGTGATGCCATTTTCTTATTTGTCAGTCCTTTTCAACTGGAGATTTAAGAGTCATGAAAAACCTGGAAACATGTAACTAGATATAAGGAAATGGAAGAAAAACCTCAGGGCAAGGATGCAGATATCAATCATCAGGTATGGATCTAGCATAAATGGTGAACAATTTCCATAACAACTGCAGAATGGACCGCTTGGACTGATGCAGACTTTAACTTTTACAGTAACCAGCATGGAGACAGAAATAAGTGGCCACTGCAAAGAGGCGACTATTGTTGGGAAGTTTTGATTAGGGATTATTGAGTGGCTGGGATGATAAAAACCGTGGCCATTAAAAGGAGGTATGGGCTCAATTTGTGCTACTCTCTTGAGTATGACCTCTTGAACGAGAGCAGGCTCCTTTATCAAACATCTGCTAGTAATTGAGTATAAGGAAGGTGATAATAAGTAGAGGTTTAAATGTATTTCAATCTCGGTTTACAGAAGGGATTCAAAGAGCACAAAAATGGCCAGTTCCTGAGACATGAAGATAACCTTGCCTGTCTCGTTGCAGGAGGTTCTGATAGGTCCAGCGGCCAACTACTTGGCCACTGGAAGATGGATAAAGTAGGTCAGGTTTGAATGCTAACTGAGAGGATTGTGATTTGTTCTTTGGGAAGACATTTTATCCTGACATTCAGGGCTGCAAATATTTTTTTTCTCTTGAAAGAACATATGTCCTACTAAGACACCATCTTGGTTAGACAAAACAAATTGTGGTCGGACATCACCGAAAAAAGTAAGATTTACTCACGGTAGATTTTTATTCATCCTTACCGTAAAACAATTCACAATAAAAAAATTGTCCGTAAATCATCCCCAACCAACGGTTGGGATTTCATCAGACACGAGCAAATTTTAAATGGCCAATGTCGGATGACCAACTGTTATTTTCAGCCCTGGAAATTGGGCATGTGCGTATCATCACAGAAGGTTTAAAAGGGTATTTTTGTGATTCTTGAATGGCCCTATTTCTTCCCCAAGGAGAACTCCCAAACAAAAAGGACAGGGGTGCTTGCCATACCTTTCAGGGGTTCGAAAAGTGGTTTTGGTACGTCTTAGGGTGTTTAGCCTCAAAAGGTCCACAGAAGGAGCTTTTGCTGTACCTTTTATGGTACTGAGCCAAAAAAATATGACAGGAGATTATGTGTTATGTAAGAATTCGCACCTCTTAGGGGAGAAAAAATTTCAAGCCATGCCCACAAAACAGGGTCTTGGTACCTCT